TAGCTTTAGTACGAGAACATTGGGTACAGGCAGCGCAGGATGACACTATCTACCAAGAAGTACTAGCCGCCGTACGAGAAGGAAGACGATCGCTCTCTAGCACGCGCAAGATTGCTATCTCGCTAAGTGACTGTATGATTGACCAAGAAGAACGACTCTAATGGCGTGGACGTGTGTGGGTACTAGACTTTGAACCATTACGCACAGGAGTTATCTAAGTGGCTTACTTATCTCTCCTAACTAGACATCCTGGACGAGAAGAGACCTATTGGATTGTTGCACGAGAATGGTACTGGCCTCACATGAGCGATGACATACGACGCTTCGTACGGAACTGCGAGCTATGCCGCAAAAGCACTCCCTGGCGGGACGGAAAGTTTGGTTACTTAAAGCCCCTACCTGTGCCTAGTCGTACGTGGCAGCACCTCACAGTTGATTTTATTACAGGCCTTCCTAACTCTCTTAGAAACACGAACTTGATGGTAGTAAAGGACCAATTAGGGAAAGGCGTCGTGCTAGTCCCTATGAACAAGATTAAGACAACAGACGTTGCTTGGGCTTTCGTACGAGAAGTCTACCGCCACCACAGCCTTCCACAGTCTATCACGTCCGACCGCGGCCCCCAGTTCGCAAGCCAACTATGGGAAAACATCTGCAAGCTGCTAAATATTCAGCGGAATCTCTCTACAGCTTACCACCCACAAACGGACGGGACGACAGAACGAGCTAATAGCGACATAGAAGTAGTCGTACGGATCTTTTGCAACTACGACCAAGACAATTAGGCTCAGCTTTGCCCCCTTCTTAAACTTATACTCAACTCCCGTACAAACGCCTCTACAGGTGTATCCCCCTTCTTTCTCCACCATAGTTACCATAATACCCCGTTTCCCCAAAAAGAAGCTATCTTAGACAACTAAGAAGCGAGCATAGCAGCTAAAGAGATAGTACGTACGATTAGTGATGCGGCAAACTAGGCAGTTTCAGCAATGTCGTACGCCCAACAAGAGCAAGAGAAGCAGGCAAACAAATCTCGCAAACCATCGCCTGCTTACAAAGTGGGAGACTAGGTCTGGCTAGACTTACGCAACGTACGAACGACCTAGATAAGCAAAAAGCTAGACTAGAAAAGTGGAAAGTACCAAGTCGCCCGCGTACGGGACCCCTACTAGGTAGAACTCGCAGTGCCCTAGGAGACAAAATCCTTCTATGTAGACAAGCTAAGGCTAGCATCTAACGACCCCTTGCCATCACAACAAACAGACGATAGCAGCCCTGCGGCTATTGTCGTACGAGAAGATGGAGAAGAAGAAGACTATTTAGAATGGCTTGTACAAGGCATCACGGACGAACGAATACAAAACAGAGAACTGCAATATCTCGTCATTTGGATAGGCTACCTAGAGGGCAGTTAGGAACCAGCTACGGCACTTAAAGACACGAAGGCCCTGGACGAATGGCTCGCCTAAACTTCCTCCGTACGAAAACCCAACGGCCGGCTACAAAATGGCTAGAGGCGAAAGCTACTTGATGAGCAACGGAGACCTGGCGCTACCCCTAGAGGCCGAACGATCTCTTTTGGTGCCTAGAAGACGACGCTTAGCTGGCGTACGGACGGACGAACCGTCCCCTCCTCCTGCCGTACAACGGGCGCTATGGTTCTGCTAGATGCAATTGCTACACGCACCACCCCACTCTCCATAGATAGAGACACAACTAGCAAAGGCCGTAAACTCCTTCGCCCCGTCCAAGACTGGCGCACAGTTATCGCAGAACGTAGCATTAAGGGCGCCACGCGAATGGACGAGGAAGGCCTTGAGGTACGAGGGTCGGCCACCTAAGATTTGACGGGCATGGAGCGTCGTACGGGCGACAACAGGCGAATAACCGCTAAGGCTAGGACTGAAGGTAGCATCGTACGGCGACAGCCCCCTTGGACGGCAGAACATGTCGAAGACCCGGCGAAGCTTAGGCTACACTAGTTAGCAAATTCAAACGTACGATAAGAAAGCGACACTCACGGGAGCAGCGGCGAACACTTGGCGAATCTCCTTAGCGACCCGCACGTCAAAAATGTACCAGACCTGGTAGTTGTTGAGGTTAACCTATCCAACAATGACAGGCGCTGCGGCCTGGATGGCACCTGGCGTCGTACGAGTGAGCAACTAATAAGCAACGTCGAAGATCCAAGCAGTTGCCTGCTTAATAGTGTCGTTAACTCCACCGTTCGTGCAGAAACGCAAGGCGTTGACCTAGCCGTTGGCCTACATCCCACGATTGGCTATCGTACGGGAAGACTTGAGGAAGTGACTATAATAAGAGAAAAGTTAAAGCTAAAGGGATAGAGGAAACAAGCAGTAGGCAGGGGAAGAAGAGTATTTATGCTCGCTAGACAGCGTTTGCTATATAGCACCGTTGCCTAACTCTCTCTTACCTTCACTATTTGCCTTTACCTTAACCGTACGAGACGCCAAACATGTGATAGCAAACAGACGGAGAGAAAGGAAAAGAAGACTAAGGAATACGCACGTGATATTGGACGAGGTGAAGGAGGGGAGTATTGTAAAGGGCTACGCTAGAGAGGCATGACCTACAGGTCACATGGTAGTGAATCACATGACTTTAGTCACGTGACTAAATGACGTAGTTAGTTACGTACGAACAAGCTTAAGTAAGGAGGAAGACTAAAGGTCTGAGCGTTCGTACGAGTAACAACTATAAAAGGAGGGCCCTCTAGATAGTTCTTTTCTGTATCTTTCTTCTTCTGTACAATAGGTGAATGCAT